TCTAGTTTAATAATTGGACAGACTAGTGATACTAACTTTTGTTTTACTGGAGAATTATTGGGGTACATATAGAAACAAATTAAGGGATAGTACAACCCTAAATCATACTGATACAGAAACCATTAGGCAGCTTGAGAACTTGGGCAATAGTGGAGAGTCTAAAGTGAACTTCTGATGGCAGGACTTTTAGGTCCTGAAGACAGGAGTGATGCTTTGAAGTGCCTAAATAGCTTCAACATAGTTGGCTGGGAGCATGCCGGTCCTGCCAGTCCTCTGCACAGTGCCGTACATCCAACCTTCATCAATAGCTTGAACATTTACGATAGCATCTCCATCTTTGAAGGACACCTCGTCTGCATCAGCAGCCATATAGTCGTACATGGCACGGAAGATTTTCTATTGGTTAGGACAGGAAAAAAAGGAAATTAGATTTACAACAGTTAACTCAAACACCTAATTGTAATGTCTCTTGTGACTTACTCCACGAATTTTAAGCTGCACAAAACAGAATGTGGAGCCACCACCAAAAGAGTAAAAAGACAACTCCCAAGCTAGGGGAAAATATTTGCCAATCAATCATATATCTAATAAGGAATCGCTACCCAGAATATATTTTTTAAAAAAAACTACAATACTGGATAGGGGGAGGGGGCAAAGGATCTGAAATTGTCAAAGGAGATATACAAAGAGCCAATAAGCACAGGAAAAGATGCTTGACATCCTTAGTCATCAGGAAAATGCAAATCAAAACTGCAATGAAATACTACTTCACACACATTGAAATGGTGATAATCAAAAAGACAGTAGCAGGTATTGGGGAGGGTGTGGAAAAACTGGAATCTTCATAAGCTGCTGGTGGGAATGTAAAATGGTGCAGACAGTCTAGAAAACAGTTTTGCAAGTTTCTCCCATTTTAAATAGTAGAGTTACCATGTGACCCAGCAATTCTACTCCTAGGTATATACCCAAGAAGAATGAACATGTCCACACAATTAACTTGTATACCCATATTCATAACAGCGTTATTTGTAACAGCCAAAAAGTGGAAACAACCTAGATGTCTCTCAGCTAATGAATGAAGAAAAGGTAGTATTTCCATGCAGTGGAATATTACTTGCTAATAAAAAGGAATGAAGTACTGATATGATACAACATGGATGAACCTCAAAACATTAAAAGAAGCCAGTCACAAAAGACCAGATATTAATGTGATTTCATTTATATGAAGTCTCCCAAATAGAAAAGGATATAGAGATAGAAAATACATTAGGGTTGGATGGAGGAGGAATGGGGAGTGACTGCTGATGAGTATAAAGGGTTTTTTTTTAGGGTGATGCAAATGTTCTAATATGTTGGTTGAACAACTCTAAATGAACTAAAAAATCATTGGACTTGTATACTTCAAATGATGAACTTAATAGTATGTCAATACAGTAGTCCCCCTTTATCCAGAGTGGATATGTTCCAAGACCCCTAGTATTTCGTGAAACCACAGATAGTGCTGAACCCTACATATACTCTTTTTTCCTAAACATAACTATGATAAAGTTGCATTTATAAATTAGGCACAGTAAGAAAATATCCACATTGCTAGCATCACTATTCTTGTGCTTTGGGGCCATTATTAAGTAGAATAAGGGTTAGTTGAACACAAGCACTGTGATACGTTGACAGTTCATCTGGTAGCGGGGCTACGAAG